CTCCAGAGAAACGACATGAGCTGGTGGCTTTAACATTTCTCTCTCCCTTTCCTTCTCTTCCCACTTTACCCACAGATGGCCATAAAACTTCAAAAATATTCAGGTTTAGTTGCAGAGAAACTTGTTATGCACGTGTATAATTTGACTCCTACTTTTTTCCTTCACTCCTAATTATAAAACAAGCATTGAAAACTGAACCTGATGGTGATCTCACACTGGGGAGTATCATATTTTATTTTGGAAATTTAAGTCAGAGAGCACAGCTTCAGGACCATCCAGTCCACAATATGACTATGTTTATGCATAGCTGAGGCAGAAAAATGGCTGGTTTAGCGTTTAGTGTTTGTTAAGGAGGGTATAAAAGATACAACCTTTCAGAGAGCACAGCTTCAGGACCATCCAGTCCACAATATGACTATGTTTATGCATAGCTGAGGCAGAAAAATGGCTGGTTTAGCGTTTAGTGTTTGTTAAGGAGGGTACAAAAGATACAACCTTGTAAAAGCATGCAAGAAGATTCTAGAAAAGGAACCCAAGGGAACCAGTTCAAAGGCTTCCAAACTGTAATATAGCATGCCCACCCTATGACTCATATGAACTGGGTTATTTCCATGATTTCCCTAAAAAAAGCGTCTAAAAATACTTTGCCAGTCAGAAATCCAGGAGGAAACAGATGACACAAATAAATTGGATAAGTTGGAAAGTTTAATAAAGGGATCATTTACAAAGGTGTCAGCTTAAGGAAATCACAGTTTATCATGCAGTGCCTTGGGTCAGTAACAGTGGAGAGCTCTTACCACTGCAGCCCCGAAGGGTCAAGGTGAGAGAGCAGCAGGGAGCCAGCAGGCAGAGAGGGCTCTGTGGAGATGGGAGCCTAGTCAGAGCTAAGGACTTTGCTGCAGGGATGCAGGTAACCGTGGCAGGCCCACAGCGCTGGGGGAGCCAAGGGGACACCCACACTGACGTCACTCCCCTTGGCATTCTGATCTCCTCCATGGCTCCCCCTTGGCTGAAGACACTAGGAGCAGTCTATACAGTCAATCTCATGGGTCACAAACAGGAGAAGAAGGGTGGAGAGTGTATCTGGGGCAGTGAATGGATGTTCTTCTAAGGCAGACAGCATTTTTGTTTCTGTCTGCCTTGTACAAAACTGTCACAAGGGGAGTCTTAACATTTGATCCAAGTCTGAACAGGGAGCCAAATTGATCTAATTAAAAGGAGGAGGGGAACCCTAAAGCTTAAATTTAATGTTTTTTCTTACTTAAGATTTCTAAATCAATTCCTCTGTTCTTGAACACATAATACCTAGAACGGGGTGGTTTGTTTTTTCAAAGCATTTTGTTATGCTTATAAAATTAGATTTGATTTTATAGGCAATAGGTTCTGAAGAATTTTGGGTTTGAGAATGCCAAACTCTAATTTTCACATTTGAAAGAATACTCTACAATACTTTTAAAGATTAGTTTGAAAGTGATGTATCTAGAGATAGTAATACCATATGAGATACTGAGGAGAGCTTTGATAGAGAAAGTAATGGATATAAGAAAATTTGGAGGTAAAATTAGTAGAATTGGTGCTTGATTGAATATGGACATTAAACTAGGAGTCCAAAATGACGCTTAGGCTCCTAGTCTTAAAAGATGTGTAGATGGTTAGTGGAGGGGTAGCTTATAGTTCAATTTGGGACACGTAGGGCTTAATGTGCCTGTGAAATCCAATCAACTGGATACCTACCCATCAACAAAAGAGAGATATAAAAGTTATCATAATGTAGATCCCTTCAAAGTTTGGAAAGTAATGATAGCCAGACTGATAGAATGTATTTTCATAAGGATGGACAAATAATGTATAAGAACTTTTAAAGTACTTTGAGGACTGTGTCCCTTAAAGCAGCGGTCTCTAAACCAGGGCCATTTACCCTGGGAGTACTCCAAGACTCTCCGAGGGGCACACGGGTACACGCAGGGAAGCAGTTTCTAGAACATCAACTTTTATCTGGCCTCTTTCCCAAAAGTTACCTACCTAAGAAGGTGTCTGTCATGGAGACTGTTGGTTCTACTTTCTTTATAACTAGTTCTCATAAACTTTAGGATGCATCAAAATCATCTGGAGTGCTTGTGAAAACCCAGGTTGCCCTCCCCATCCCCCAAATCTCTAATTTAGTAGGGCAGGGCCTGAGGACTTGTACTTCTTACAAGTTTCTAGGTAATGCTAATGCTATTATTTCAGGGAATGAACTTTGAGAACCAAAGACTTTAGATAATTGCCTTTTTACCCTTTATAGAAAACCACTACCCCATCAAACACACCTCTCATCAATCCTGAGTCATAGGATGCATTGCCATGAAATGTTAAATCTATGAGCAAACAAAAGGATGAATTGAAACTAAACTTAGGTTCCATCAGTGTCAAATCAAGTAGTTTTTCAAGTCAGGTGTTTACAATAAAATTTTAAGAAGGCCTTCATTGAGATGTCAGCAGAAAGGTAATTGAAAATAACTTTTGATAGACTACTATGTGACTTTTAAAATATTATTCAGAAAGAGGTTAAAAAATATCGACTAGCATTGCTTAATAAAAGTATCTTTTCCCTCTACTTATTTATGTGAATGAATTTCCTCAGTGTTTAAATCGATAGGAACAAAATAGGAATAAAATTGATGCTAAATCATGACACATTCTAGTTTTAAGTAACATTTACTCATGGAAATATGATATGGGAAAAGGAGCCCTAATCACTATTTGAGACATATTTCTAATAAAATTTTACAATTTAATTATTTTTCAAATTTTGCAAGAGCACAATATTGTTTTGATCAGTTATATATGAGTAAATCACAATGAGAACTCAATCCGGGGGAAGCTTTTAATTTTTACACTTTCATGTTTACAAGAAAAAATTAATATTCAACTTTCAAGTAGAAATTTTGATGTATATGTTTGACAGCTTAATCAGTAGACTTTCAAGCATATAATTGTAATATTTAGGTAAAATTCCATGGGGGCGGGGACTGAAATTTCTAAAAAGTGCAAAAATATGAAAAGAAAAATACAAAATACCTGACTGACTGCTAAGAGTATATTTCTTCAAGTATTTTTTAAATTGATGATAGTAGGCATCAAAGTATTTATGGTAATTAGATTCCACTGAATATATTTAAGAGTGGGTTACATGTTTATTTCAGTATGGCACAATTTAAAATATGCCAAAAAGATATCCTTTATAACTGTTTAACTTTATGATGAAATACTATTTTGTTGACAACTTAAAATGTGATGGGTATATAGTTTTAAACTTTTATTTTAGAATGAAGATTATCAAAAATCAATTAAGACTTACTTCCTTAAGGCAATAAACTTTTAATCTTTAGCAGGGATCATTTGATAGACTCAGACAGAACTCTGAATTAAATTCCAATTAAAACCCAGGCTCTGGTTATTGTATGAACACCTCAACAAAAACCATTCCTGTTCTCATTTGGCATTTGCTCTGTCTTGTCCAGCTGGGATCCAAACATACAGAAATGAGTAATAACTGGAAAAGATTATACAGTCTTGAACAACTCATTCAAAGACCTTCATAAACTTTCTACTTAGACTTATTTTAGAAAAGAAGCATTTGGCTGAATTCTGGCTTGGTTAGCAAATGGAACCCGCAGCACACAAAAAAAGATGCTCAAGAATCAGTACAAAAACATCACTGTAGGCCTTTTTCTTCAAAAATTATTTCACTGCATTTGTAATATTAGGAGACATAAAAAGAAACGCATGAAAAAATGTTGAAGTCATCAGTCAGTCACTAACCCCTTAATAATAACTTTTGCCTTTATCTAAAATATATTGGCTCCTGTAGATTCTTTTCTTGGGAGATACTCATGAAGAGGTCATGCACAAAATCAACTCTGAACCTTTTTGCAAACTATTATGTTTTTTCTGTCCATTTCTAAACTCCATAAATTTATTTTCCATGATATATAACTTCTGGACAATTAATGCAGGCTAATCCAGTTCCAACTTCCTGTGCTGTGTTGAAAATTCCCTTAAGATCAGGAAGGGCCTACTTTATAGCACATGAAAAAGATGTATCTCCCTACAATCTCTTCTCTCTTTTCCATTTCTGCTCTTCTGGTAGACTACCGAATCTTAAAGAGCCCCCAGTGATAGGGGCATATTCTTCCTCCAGATATACAATCCAGCCTTAAAAAATGAATAGAAAACCACTTCTGGCTGACTCTGAGTAGTGCACATCTCCTTAAAATTCTGTCCCAGGATTCTGGGTAATGAGACATCCCACAAACTCCATTATTTACACCTAGATCAATAAAAATTTACTTGATGGATTTACGAACATCTAATAAGGGTGTATGTGCACAAGTAATACAAATTCTTGGTAATTTTAATTTAAATTCCTCTGTAAGTTATGAGAGATTTCACATCAAAAGGACAAGACCAGCCAGGAAAAGGATCTCTTCTGTTCTGCCATCTGTTCATACCCAACTTCCCATATATATTTTTGATATCCAGAAAAGAAACCTCAAAATAATTTCAACTCACCTTTATTCTTTTATGATATCTTCTATATAATTGCAGAACATATAATAGATTTGTTCTTCCAGATCATCATAAAGATACTGAATAGAATGAGCTGTATCTGCTGAATCTCCAGGGCCTAGTTCAGTACTTGACATGTAGTAAGCACTTAATAGTGAATGGTTGAAGAATGAAGGAACGGATGGGTAGGAACTTGATGTTTTGACATCTTCTGATCATTATTTTGATAATAGGTTAACCTCTTTAATGTATAACAATTGGGAACATAATATTTTATACTTTTCTTGAGAATATCATACAGGCTGTGGAAATTACCTGCATCCACTACAAACTAACCAGGTAACTTTGAACAAGCCAGTAGCTTGTATTCTGTGATGGAATTAGAATGTAAAAATGTTGATGCACATTAGGATTCAGAGTTGTAAATAACCAGACCAGTCACAAAACAGTAAAAGAAGGATTTTAGGTTTCTTTGGTGAAACAAAAGCAGGTATAAAAAGTTACAAAGATTTTAGATTTTCATTCACAAAAAAAAAACAGTCATTCACATTTTACACTATACATGTTATAATATAAATACAGGAATGTATTATGTGCATTGAAATGAAAGAGGAAAAATTAAAACCTAATAGGTCAACACAGTGCTCTATTTCTGGGCTCGAGAGCACCCAAAGGTGGAATACATTTAATACAGCAACCAAGAGAACTTCTAAAGACACTGTGTATGAAGGTAGCTACTGTGTTCCATATAAGCCAAAAGATGTTTTGTGGGAAAGAATCAGTGTTGGGTATACACTGTTTTCTATTTGCATTTTATTTGTTGTCCAATTCTCTCAAGGTCGTTTTAAGTGAAATTAGAGAAGGACTCCTAAATGCCATGTTTCCATACAGGATTTTCTTCAAACATTAAATTAAGTGGATAATGATTCTAAGTCATCTTCAGCAGTCACTTTATTCAAATAAAGGGGAGAAAACACAGTGGGAAGAGATAAGGAGAAATTTCAACACTCAACACTCCACCTACCAGGAAGAAATACCCACACTATTTCTACATATATGCCACTTACTTAGGATGGGCAAACACCATTTTCAGAGAGCTATACACTTTTCCACTCTTTTCATAATAAACACTGGATGCATTCTATCCATCACATTATTTAATCAGGGACAAAGTACCTAGATTATATGATTCCAGACTGTGTGAGGGAAATAAAAAGGTTAATGCTGAAAATAACTAGCATACTATGTCAATTTTCAGGTTTGGAGGAAAATAACATCCAATAAATTAAATCAGTATGGCTTACTTCATTTATTTATGTATGCTTCACAGCTGCAGCATTCATACATGAACATTCAAAACTTTTATAAAAGATTAAAATGGTTATATATACAAAATTTCTTTCTTTGAATGTGTGTTGTTCTAACAATCCCCCGCCCTCCAGAGTCCTAGGTCTGTGTCCATTTAAAATGTGTTGATCTGTAACCTGCAAGTTAGTGCTACGAAAGCCATTAAAAAGTAGACCTGGTTGAGTTAATAATTAGCACTTTGACCCCTAAAAAATGTTCCTGGTTGTAGAAAAGTCCCCCATTCAGGCCTTTCTTGTAAGCGAAGGAAATGGAATGCAGCAAAGAAGAGTTCCACGTTGCAATCCCCAGTTCTGTGGGTTATCCCATTAGCCAGGCTTCAGCATCATGTGGAAGCAAATTGCACCAGTGGCTGAGATGGTGTAGTGACCTACGAGACTTTGCGATTGCTAGTTATCCAGGAAAAGCCATCCTTAGTCTTGCTGACAAAGGGCAAGTGAAACCATTTCCAGCCTAAACAAACTACAAAAAGCAGCCGAACCAATGATTAAAGACCTCTAAGGTTCCATAATCATCATTAAATATGCCCAAACTCAGTGTGACTTTTCATTTTATATACAGGATTAAAATCAACATTAAATCATCTTATTTACATTGCCATTGTTGCTGAAATTGAGTTTTTTTAAATAGTACAGTAGGCTGGTATATGTTATAAAATTGTCTGCACTGGAGGCAAATAGAAAACTAAAGAAATTAGACAGGCTGGATATGGTTACATTCTGCCCTCATGTTCTTTCATTTTGTTTGCTTTCCTTTTGAATACCAATACTTTCATTTAAAATGTTTTGGGAGCATAGCAACCCAAAATGACGGGATGGTGGTCCAAAAATCCAAACCCAACTGATAATACTTCTTGAAGTGATAGGAAAGGCACAGGAAGTTAGGACTTTGGCTGAAATGATGAAAACACATATTCGCCATTTTAGGGATCAGCGCCTCGACTCCTGCCACCTCCGGCTCCAACGGTGATCATGTTTTGATGTATTTATTGAATTGTCCTTTGCTGATGAGGAATTTTTTAAGTATTTCTTAGAATAAGTCCTTTGGTATGCAGATGCTACATGGAAGGAAAGAAAGAAAGAAAGAAAACACAACAATATTACTTGCTCCATACCCTAAACTACCGATACCGTAGCTGTAAAATGAGGGTGTCTAGTAGTTGTTATAGCACGGTTGTCCATTCTTTCTAAAGGACCACTTACGGTTCATGCAGGTAATTTTAGGCATAGCCCATCTTCCATTTCCTAGGCAACGGATAGTTGGAAGGTGGCGTTGAATGAAACCTTCTTTGCAGTGATATCTAATCAGGGAGTTGATTTCATAACGAGGTTTCATCTTTCCAAAGGTCTTGGCATTTTCTACAACTGGAGGTTGGCCGCAAGCAACTAAAGAAAAGTAAATTGGGTTACTTCCAAATAATCTAAATATTTCTATTAGTATGAGTCTCTTTTTCCTTCTTTCTCTATGGCACCCACTCAAGCACCTTCACCAAATGCAATCATTTAGAATTAAGAAAATGAAAATTTTCAAAAGAAAAACTGAATATTGAGGCATGGGCCTACTTTGAATCTCAGATTATATCATCCTGAATTGTGTTTTATTAAAGAACCAAAGTTCTAAACAGTCATACATTCATCTGTCCATCTGGAAGAGCTACTTTTCTGGAAAAAATCCCACATTAAAAAGTACCTGTCTCCTACCATCCTGCAGCCTGTTAGTATTGTCTTCATCACCACTCCCAAGTGTTTATTTATTACTCATCTTCATTTGGAACAATAATGGCATGTAACAATTGACTATTACTGTCACTTCCCTGGAAAAACCTAAAATCTATAATAATATCATAGTTTCAAGATATAGACAAGATATGGACTCCTAAGTATAAATAAATATCTCAGGTTCCATTATGTTTATTTGTCTGTCTCTTGTCTGTCTTCTGTGTGGAGAAGGGGGAAAGTCAGGACATAGTATTCATGCCTGTTTTGTAATTACCTTATAAATATAAATTTCAACTCTTGAGAAGGGTTACGGTACATTTTAGAATATTTAATGATCATTTCAAATTTACAATGAAAACTTTGAATATCAACAACTTAGCAGTAGTAGAAATAATAAAAAAGAAACAGTAAAAGAAACCTTGCAATTTTGAAATTTAAGAAGCTAGGAAAATTAATTCAACTCAATTTGTATTAACATAGTTTTATTCAACATTAGAGTACTTGTTTTAAATGATGCATTTTTAAAGACTAATTTTTATTAAGTGATTTTGTTTTATTATATAACTATAATAAAAATATTACTTAAATACAAGTTCCCTAAGTGGCATTTCCTATCCATAATTTACTTTAAGAATTTTGATACCACAAGATCATGTTATATTCTTTCTCAAAATAATGCAACTCTTAAATGGGAGAATGATTACCAGAAACCGTGGTACCAAGATGTTTGTACATCAACATCCTAATATTAAAAGTTTACAAATATTAAATTTATTTACATATTCAAACAACGTTTACAACCACATTCTTTTGCAAGGACAAATGTGGGTTTAATTTAAATATTTAGTTCATCTAAGTTACTTATGGCTGACAAAGCAGCTTAGAATGTACTGACCCCATAGCAAACAAAGTTGTCTTTAATGAAACACAATCCAAGCATATACTTTCATTCACATAAGAAATTATCACTCAGACATAACTTAAAAATAGATTATAAAGTCTATTATATGTCTATAAAGATTATAACTAAGAAATTAGAAATATTTTTGCTTTGAGCATTTGATCTTCACAAATTCCTACAAGACAGATTCCTGTAGTAATACATCATTTTCCATTAATAAAGTACACTATGTATATGGTACAGTGATAACCTTAATCTGGGTATCTGTACTTCTTTTATTGTAATATGGAAAGCTAATATTAGTTATTCATATGAGCAAATATCAGATAGAATGAGACAGAAGTGATATGGAAGGTTAAATATTATCAACTAGGTAATTCATTATACTTGATTCTGTGCTATGTTGACAAATTGGTGGTTTTTATTATTGCAGAGAAAACAACATACATATTTCTCCCAGGACTATTTATATATGAAGACTTATTATAAAACTAAAATAATACAGTAAGTGCAGTCTGTCAAAGACTGGCAGATAGTCCAGAAAAAATCTGCACATATATGCTTGATATTTGACAGAAGAAATATGGCAGAACAGGGAGGGAAAAGGTCATTTATTTTTTTCTACTTGGACAATTGGGTATCCATATGGAGAAAAAAAGAACTTGGTTCCCTAACTGGGAATACATGGGAAATCATTTCTAGGTAGTTTAAAAATGTAAACATCAAAGGCAAAACTATAAAACATTCAGAAAACAATATAGAATATCTTTCTGATTTTAAGGTAGGAAAAGATTTCTTAGGACACAAAATGTTTGAATCATAAAGTAAAATGCAACAAAATGAAGACTCCTATTCATCAAAAAATAAGTAAAGTAAGAGTAAAGACAAGCCACAAACTGGAAGGAGGTATTTGCAACATGTGTAACGGTCAAGGAATTGGTGAACAGGATATAAAAAGGACCTAAGCAAGCCTGTAAAGTCTGGAAAAGAAGCCCCATTACTCAAATGTGCAGATACCAATCAAGGAATTAAGGATCATAAAAAGTCAGGTAAACATGACCCCATCAAAGGAAACTCCAATAACTGACTCTAAAAATATGGAGATGTATGAACTGCTGGACAAGTTAATTCCAAATAATCCTCTTAAGGAAGTTTAGTAAATGACAAGAAAACACAGACAGACAACTAAATGATATTGGAAAACTGTGCATGAGCAAATGAGAGCCCAGAAATAAACCCAAGCATTATGGTCAATGAATATTTGACAATGAAGCCAAGAATATTCAATGGAGAAAAGACAGTCTCTTCAAAAATGTACTGGGATAATTGGATATTCACATGTAAAACAGTGAAATTGGATTCATATCTTATACTACTCCTCCAAATTAACATGAGATTGATTTAGGACTTAGATGTAAGACATGAAACCATGAAACTCCTAGAAGAAAACAGGAACAAATCTACTTGATGTGAGACTTGGTAATGATTTTTGGATACAATGCGTAAAGCATAAGCAGCAAAATAAAAAATAAACAAGTGGAACTATATCAAACTAAAAAGCTTCTGCACAGAAAAAGAAACATCAACAGTGTGAAAAGAATAGGAAAAAATATTTTCAAACTATATAACTGATAAGGGGTTAATATCCAAAATATATGGAGAATATATACAACTCATTAACAACAACAACAACAAAAAACCCAAGCCAATTCAAAAATGGGTAAAGGATCTGAATAAACATTTCTCCAAAGAAGATGTGTGAAAGTCTAAAGGGTACATGAAAAGATGTTCAACATCAGTAGTCATGAACAAAATGTAAATGGGAACCACAATGATTTATCACCTCATGCCTGTTAGAATGGCCATCTTCAAAAAGACAAAAGATAACAAATGCTGGCATAGATATGGAGAAAAGAGAACCCTTGTGCATTGTTGGTGGGTTTGTAAATTGGTACAACCTGTATAGAGAGAAGTATGGAGGAGACTCAAAAAATTAAAAACAGAATTGCTATATAATCCAGCAATTCCACTTCTGGGAATCTATCCAAAGGTAAGAACACTAACTTGAAAAGGTATCTGCACTCTCCCTGTGTTCATAGCAGCATTATTTACAATAGCCAAGACATGGAAACAACCTAAGTGTCCATCAATGGATGAAACTGTGGGATACATATACAATGGAATATTATTTGGCCATAAAAAATGAAGAAATTCTACTATTTGAGACAACATGGTTGGGCCTTGAAAGCATTACACTAAGTGAAATGCGTCAGGCAGAGAAAAGACAAATGTTTTATGATCTCACTTATATATGAAATCAAAACAAAGAAACAGACAAACTCATAGAAAAGGAGATCAGACTTGTAGCTACTGTAAGTGTGGGGAGAAGAAGGGGGAATTGGACGAAGGTGGTCAAAGGATACAAACTTTCAATTATAAGATAAGTAAGTATTAGGGATATAATGTACAAATGACCATAGCTAATACTTCTGTGATATACAGGAAAGTTGTTAAGAGCATAGACCCTAAGAGTTCTCATCACAAGAACATTTGCTGCTTTTTTCTTTTCTTCCTTTCTTTTCTTTATATTATCTCTTTATGAGAAGATGGAATGTTAGCTGCACCTTTTGTGGCAGTCATTCCACAATATCATCATGCTGAACACTTTAAACTTATACACTGATGTATGGCAATTATTTTTCAATAAAACTAGAAAAAAAGTCTTTTGTATATATTATAATCCTCCTTTACAAGTATTTAATTAAAAGTAGAACTACTTTTAAATGAAATTTTAAAGATGTCTAAAGAATTGAAAGGAAAAATGAGTATCTTTTAGAAATGTTTATAGATACTTTTAAAATTCCTAAAATTCCCCAGAGTACTGATTAACGAAGAATTAAGTCTATATTAATAAGAAGCAGACAAGAGGGAGATAAAATGCAGGAATAATTTTGTTTTGTTTTTTTCTCCTTTAATGAGGTAAGGCCCAATGTTTGATAAATCTTCTTCCCAATTGGGAAATGTAAGTAATGATTCTGTTTTTGTGAGCCCTCTCTAGCTATAGGGCAGTGGTTCTCAACCTGGGGCCATTTTCCTCCTCTCCATCACCCCACAGGGAGAGTGAGAAACATCGAGAGACCTTGATCGTTGCTGCAAAGCAAAGGAAGGAGGATGTGAAGTGGGGGAGACTACTACTGCCATTTGGTGCAGAAAGGGCGGAGATGATGCTGGACATCTCTAACGCACAGGGTAGCGCCCCCCAGCTAAGATTATCTGGCCCAAACTGCCAATAGTGCAGCTGTTGAGAAACCTTGCTACACGGAAAAATAACATAGGCAATATAAGAATGTTTGGATTGCAAAATGAAAGGCGTGACTCCAGGAAATATTTGGAAACCTTAGAAGGCAAACATGACATTTGGGTAAAGATTGTTCATTAAGGACTTCTTAGAAACAGGGAAAACAGCAAATACTTGATTTGCTTTTTTCCCAAGTTCCATCACAGAAGTTCTGAAGTAATGCACATAGTTAGGAAAGCTGCTCACAGAGAAAGGATTTTCAGAATAAATTCTATTTTAGATAAGAGAATAGCAGAGCAAAGCAGTCACAGATAACAACTGAGTTTCATCTCAGTTTTGTGTACCTTATTGTTCTTTTTCTTCTGATAGAACTTCTTATTATTGGTGTTTAAGTCTTTCCTAAAATAGCTATACAGGATGTATTTTTTGTTTCATTATTTTTATATTCTAAGACAAATAAATTAAATGAATTTTATATTTTGCATTTGTACTTTGTCCTCTTATTTGAGGTAGATAAAAGTCTGTGTCTAGAGGCAAACTATTCATGTTCTAATATTATTATCAATTACCAACAGGTTAAAAAACTATCGAAATCCTGTTTTTTTAAGGAAGAAGTCTATACAGTGTGTCTTAGAAATTCAAACATACTGGCTAATGAAAAACACACTTAACAATCAGCTTTCTTAATTTTATCTGTATAATGTCAACTAAGCAATTCTCACTACAGAATTTACATTACAAATATTTTCATTTTATCATGTCTTGAAAGTATTCAATAATAGATACAGGACTGGCATTTTTGTTCTGTGGTTTATAAGCATGCAACGAGCTTCTCGGAGAATGATTAAAAAACTCAAATGCCTACAAAGACCAGGCACTTAATCAAAACGTGGAGAACTGAATAAGGACTTCAAGGCACTGGGCAGCCCCACACCAGGAGGGCGGTGGCTTTCACTCCTGGGACTTCAAACCACTGACAAATCTGCCCAGGGGCCAAATGGTACCGGTGTTCTTATTTTCTTAAAAAAGTAAAAAAATCCAGATTATTTAATGATATATCCCTTTTTTTTAAATGTTGACAACTAAGATTTTTCTTTTGTTCTCCTCATCAAAATAAACTGGTTTATAGGCCGTTGGGATAGCCATTGTTTTAATTAAAGATACTGCCGGGTTATTTTTCCAAAGAAATGCTACATTGTTATCATAAACTCCTGAAATCTGAGGTGGAAACATTACTGAAAACACTGAAAACACACTTCAATCGTATTGGAAGAGTGCAACATTCCAGAGCAACAATAGATGCCTTAGGTAGTGACCTCCGTCTTCTGTCTGAAAGGAAGTTTATTCTTCCTGAATACACTTGGTAATTGAAATGCAAATTAAGTATACATTCTTAATGGGGTAAACATTACCTGTTCCTTTCTTGCAGGTATAGGTGAGGTGGTAATTGCAGGGAACATCATTCCACTGGCCGTTCTCATGCCAAATGATTACAACACAATCTTCTCCAGCAGAAAAGAAGCTGTCTGGCTGGTTGGGCCTCCAGTTCTCATATTGCTATAAAAATGCAAGAAGATAACTAACTACTTGATAGTCAAAGGGTATCATATTATACGAGGGACAGTGGTATTACAGCCCAATTGAATTAGAAGAACTCGACAATTTCTGTTGAATGATGTAGCCAAAATGGTTTTGGTAGGAACTAAACACATTTTTACACTCTTAAGTGGAAAAAAATATATGTATCTCAAAGCCTCTCTTCAACAAATACATATTTTTTTTTCCTGGCAATGAGATATCTGAGGAATTTTGTTTTAGTTATCCTGGATTTATAATATATAATTGATGTTCAATTTAATAAATTTAATTATGTTATTATTAATTGTAACAGCATTAATGGAAGTGGAACTTGAGAAAGAAAATCCATTATCTCATCACTCCAGTCGATCATGCTTCCTCCCAGCCCTATGTGTACATATAATTTTATGTAGCTGTGATTATATTACAATAGAATTTTTATTCTTTCTTTTATATCTTTACCACTATAAAGAACCTTCCCTTGTGTTATCTAATGGGACTGCTTTTGTCCAAATTCATTTGTGTGGTTAAAAAATTGAGATATTTGCTGTTTATTTTTTTATTTTACCCAATACATCTATACCCATGACTTTATATTCCATTTTTCTGTGTAATTCTGCTTCAGATGTGATTTTTATGTGCACTGTACAGTTGAGTTTTAACTTTGTGATCTAATCTGGAAGTTGTTTTCTCTTAACTGGAACATTCATGCATATTGATATAAAAATATGCTTTTAAAACTGTATCTTACTATAAATATACATTTGCTTTCCTGTGTACAATGTATATTCAGATAATGAAAAAGAATTTTATTGACTTGGTGTTTTTCTATTGGTTACTTTTATATCTATATCTTTAGATGTTGTCTATTGATTCCCTAGTCTGAGCAATGATATATCACCAGAACTATTTCTCCCCTTCCATCAAAGTAAGACATGTCATTTATTTAGCACCTATAATGGATTAAGTGCTTTTCTAGGGATTTGGCATGCATTATCTTTTACAACAATTCAGCAAGATTGGGAGTAACTTGGACCTTAGAGATGTTAAGTACCCAGGACTTTGGGGTTTACATTCAATGTTTGGTTACCTTAAAATGTTGCCTCCAAGTTGGAAAAAGACAGATGCACCCCTATGTTTATTGCAGCACTATTTACAATAGCCAAGAAATGGAAGCAACCTAAGTGTCCATCAGTAAATGAATAGATAAAGAAGATGTGGTACATATACACAATAGAATATTATTCAGCCATAAGAAGAAAACAAATCCTACCATTTGCAACAACATGGATGGAGCTAGAGGGTATTATGCTCAGTGAAATAAGCCAAGCGGAGAAAAACAAATACCAAATGATTTCACTCATCTGTGGAGTATAAGAACAAAAGAAAGACTGAAGGAACAAAACAGCAGCAAAATCACAGAACCCAAGAATAGACTTAGTCAACAGTTACGAAAGGGAAAGAGACTGGGGAGAATGGGAGGGTAGGGAGGGATAAGGGTGTGGAAGAAGAAAGGGGGTATTATGATTAGCATGTATAATGTTGGGGGTGGGGGAAAGGGGAGGGCTTTGCAACACAGAGAAGACAAGTAGTGATTCTACAACATCTTACTATGCTGATGAACAGTGACTGTAATGGGGTTTGTTGCGGGGGGACTTGGGGTAGGGGAGAGCCTAGTAAATACAATATTCTTCAAAAAAAAAAAGTTGCCTCCATATCAACCAATAATTATATGAAAAACACAATCCCTATGCCTATTGAAAAATAACAAATTTTGGTGAGATGAAAATAATACTGGACTATAAATACAAGAGCAGTTTCCTAGTCTCAGGTGTCCTCTTAACTAGAATGTGATATGGGACAAGTTTGTTTCAGTGTCTCTCTGGCTCAATTTGAGCATCACTTTCCCAATACACTTTGCCTAGTGTCATGTTTCTCACCACATCTAATACTGACAAGACCAGTGGAGACAAACTGCCTTCATATGCTACAAATACAGATGCAGATTTATATAATGGTTAATGTGACTACCTTTTCTGGGCCTACACATCTACTAGCCTTTCCTCGAATTTAATTTAAAGTAAGGCTGTGGTTTGATATAATGAGTTAAGAGTTTTTATTTAGGAAAGATAAAGTCAGAGAAGAAGGAACTGTATGTAAGAGTTTAGACAATTGTTCTTAATTCAGAGTATCCAAAAAAAAAGTCCTATTATTTACTCCCAATGGTATCATGGCTATTTTTATGTCTTTTAAAAAATGTATAATAAATATACTAGAGAATATTTTTTATTTTTCTTTGTTCTCAGAAAAAAAATCCGATTTTTAAAACTTTCAAAAGAGTAAAAACCTAGATCTTTAATAAAATGATTTGTGAGTAGACCTTAAGTTGGAACCTCAGGATTAATGGACCTTCTACTTTTCCTTCAATTTATTCACTTAGTTTTGCCTTAAAGTCCTCCTCCATTTTCCTAAAATTAAGATAGGAGATGAGATCTCTGCTATGTGAAAAAACAGGCTTTGAAAAGTGATAAAATTATAAAGAACTAAGGAAAGCTTAAAAAAGCTTTGTCTTTTGTCAAAACAGAATGAAGGATGTTTTTATTTCTCTGGTGGAAATCCAAACATTATATGGATTTAAATCCAACTCTCATAGCCTGAATGGTCCCACTGGGCTACCCTCCAGCTGGACCTGGGAAGCACTCTCAGGGGACAGAAGCTCTCTGTGACCGGCCAGTCTCCCTGCCGCTAGGAACTGACATTCGCTCTTCACTGGGTTACTGATTATTCCTCTATTATCCTTTTCTTTGCTTACCTCCCTTTCCTTATCATCTCTGACCCTACACCCACCAAGCCTTTTTTCTTCCTTTTTATTGCTACTCTCCTTTAATAGATAACAGACAAAGAAATAGAAATCGAGCGGTAGAGCAGACCTACGGAAGTCATACTCGGCCTGTTGCTGATGTATGACTGAGTTGTCTTTAACAGATGAATTAAAGCAGGATAAACTAAAAATGAATTAAATTAACAAAAGAATAGGAATTCCTTAAAACTAACAAATATCTGTATTTAATAATATAATACTTTTTTATGGTCAAAGATTCTAGAGTTCTCTTAAGTTGAATTTTGGAGCTCAATACTCTCTAGCTTACCTTCTAACAAACCTCTTACAGGAAACCTGTAAATGTCCTCAAAGGTGGAAAAATTTCCAACATCTCAGTAACATATGCAAAGTGCAATGCTCCTTCCTTCCCTGTCTTACCCACACCACCCAACTTCCTTCCTTGCTTTATTTCTTCATAACACTTACTACCTTCAATATCCCATGAAATGTACTTATTTATTATATACTTTTTTCCTTTTTTCTCTTTAGCAGAATATAAGCTCACTGAAGATAGGAATTTGGGGTTCTTTTGTTTACTACAGTATCCTCAGTGCCAGGAACTAATCCTGGCACATACTGGTGTTGTTTAATAAATAATTTGACATTTAGAAATAATGAAACACAGTGTGTTGCATTCTTTCCCCTCCACACCCACCCCTAACGTGAGATGGTGCTGGCTACTAGCAAAGGACAGGGGAGATAGTCACTGACAAAGCCAGTAGAAGCAAATAACCATTTTGGGAAACAATTGGCAATACATATCACTTCTAAAATTGTATTCTAAAGAATAATCAGAGATGTGAACAATGTTTAACCTAAAATACTATTCATTTACTTGAATACTACATTTTTCTTTATCTAAAATGCTAGCAGTACATGGGGGAAAAATCTATAAAGTGAACATATAGTCAATGAAATATGGTATAGCCAAATAGTATATTATATAACCATTAAATAACTTGTTTTTGAAGAACATATAAAGACATGAGAAATAATAACACATGAAGCTAAAATTGAAAAGCAAATTACTAAAAATATACAGTGATCCAAATTATACACAAAACTCTCAGATGCAGGTTTGTGTGCATGTGTGTGTGCAAAGGGCCAAAAGGAAATTCAGGAAACTGTTATAAAGTTTATATCTGAGTGATATGAGACTGAGATAGTATTTTATTCTACATACTCCTGGTGTATTTTTCCAAGTTCCCTAAAGTGAGCATGAATTATTTTTCTAACCAGTAAAAGCAAACTTAATAAAATGATCTATTAGCTATCAGAGAGGACTTACAGATGTCCTAGCAAACCTTTTCTTAATCTTACCTTTCATCAACAAATACTTCTTCACATTAGCGAAGTCACTTGACTGCCATGTATTTTGCAGCTAACGTTTCCTCCTGACCCTCACAATAACCATCTCATTTTCACACTGAAATGAGATTCAGAATCCAGGCCACTGAAGTGATTCTCAGGACTTAGGCTGCCCAGACTCAGACCTCTGGTCAAAGATTTAATTGTTTTTGGTGGAATTACATTTGGCTTGCAATAGTGATTTAAAATCTGTGTTCTGTGTTGTTGCTTGGCAGAACTGTGGCTTCATGGTGCAGGACCAAATTTCAGTCTGTGGTTTTTATAAAAATGTCTGATACCCACAGGCATGTCCCACTATTACCTCATATCTGATAGCTCCATTGTGAAGATTTATTTTGGCTAGGTTACTGCTTCATGGAACTGCCAAACTGGCTTAGCAAAGGAAACTCCAGTTTTCTGAACAACTTTCTTTGTTTCCTCTTGAATTCTTTATGGTCTTATTAACATCACTTGCTGGGAGAAAGTGTATAAAAAAATAAATCTTTGACTTTAGGTTTAACAATGTATTTTTTTCACTGAGGTTAAATGTAAGGACAGGATCTCTGCTCAGGAAATCAATTCTGTGCTATAGGAATGTCATTAAATCTCTCTCACATAGACAGTGTCTCATACATACAGAAATACAGATTCTTGGAATGAGCAGAGACAAATTCCCCCCTCCCATCTGTTTTTTTTCTCCTCATTTGGGATCATAAACAAACATTCTGGGTGATGTATCTGGATCAACCCT